TGGTACTTTCATATTATTACCTTAACCTGAAAAATTCATATGAAGATTTTCTTAAGAATTGTAAATGATCACATATCATTAAAGCAACAAAATGATCCATTTATTCCAATTACTAGAGAAATGTTAAAATATGTAAAATCATCTAGAATGTGATAATAAGTTGCGTTTGAAACTTCCAAAAAAGTAAAAGCATTATCAACTCTAAGTTCAAAAAGAAATGTCGAAATTAATGGTGTTTAAAAGAAGAAACTAATTCAAGCACCAAATGATGATTTAATGAAAGAAAAACTTTTAAAACGAAAAGAACTTGATGCTTTACAAAATTCTTTATGTTTAGAAAGAGACTGTTATTTATATTTTAAAAATATTTTTTTGTAAAAGTTTATTTCTAGTTTCATAAAAGTGCATGATTCCATTAAAAAACTGCGATCAATTATATGTAGTTATTTTTATTTTGCAATATTACCTTGTGTTGTAATTTAATTTGATTAAGTCAACTAAAAGTCATTTATAATCAAGTGACTTTTCTAAAATAATTGAAAATAGGTAACTTTGAAAAAATTGAGTAGTCAATCAACTATGGATTTCCTAATAATAGACTAAAAGTCGATTTAGTTGGTTAATTATCATGACATTCTTATTTCTTAATTCGGTATGAGATTTCTGACTTAGGTCTGATTTCAAAAAATTATTAATCATCTATGGTCATCTTTAAAAAGTATATTAGTCAGTTAAAGAATATTTTGATTAAATTTTTTTCTTTTTTAATAAAGATAACCAAAAAAAATAACAGTATACCACTATAGTACCTTTTTTTTACTATATCGTAACTGTGAACCCCCCCCCCCCCCAAAAAAAAAAAAAAAAATTCTTAAAATCGAAGTAGCACAATATCAATACTAGACACCCAGTGCGGTTAAAAAATGTTGATTTTAAAAAAAAAGCAGCTAAAGATTTTTACAATAAATCTAAATAATAAATGACAATGCATCAAGTAAATTAAAACAGCACCATAAGAATTCACTTCTTTTCACTAGTATTGTTTTTAAAACACTTTCTCCTTTCAGAGTTAAGGTTTTTTCATTTGTATCTCCACTCAGTATATCGCAAACCTTGAACTGTTTTGACGTACGAAACATAGCGACTAGACCACTAGGTCCCATAGAACCAAATCCTTAGCAACTTTTGTTTTACAAAAAACATAATATTCGAGTCTTTTTTATTGTCTCAAGTATCACACATGGTGCAATTATTTAACACGATAATTAATACATTTACCCAATTCAACACAAATTAACAATACAAATCCATTTAATGACAAAAATCCTCTCCTCTGCCATGACGCATCACCTGATAAATCTACATCTGATGTTCCAGTCATCTCCTTCAGTTTAATATTACATAAGACCACCTGAAGAGCACTTCTGCGGTCCGTGGTTTGAGAACGGCTTACAATATATGCAACATTGGTAAGGAAGGAGGGGTAAACTTTCTGGCTAAAACCTTTTTTTGCAGTTTACTGTGATGAGACCGATAACTCCTAAATAACTTTTAAAAAATCACATGAGCACCTAGCGTTGTCATAGATTCTGTTTCTTTTTAACTCTAGTAATTATCTTATAGACAAGACTCGTCTAACAGATACTTAGTAACTGTTTCCTATGATCAAAACGATACGGAGTAATTTACGTTTTTATACCAATAGATAAAAAATTATATTAACGAGAAATACAAAGTTGTCTTATTAGACATCCCAAACTTTGTGTGAAATGATTCTTCAAAAAATCCGGCTAATCAAAAATAAGTGCAAGTGCTTATTTATTATCGCAAAACTTGCTCAGAAGTGGGGTTTGAACCAAGCGTTTTTTTGTTTCCGAGGCAGGTGGTTTGAGATTGCTGTGATAATGGGTGAAATAATTTTTTCAACACAACTAAAATGATCAGATCAACGGATACATCCAACTATAAAGTAGTGAAACATTTAAGAATATAGAACATTATAATTGAAGAACATTATAATATACTTTGCTGTATTATATATTCTCAAATATATTGCAGTGAACATTAAAATTTGAATTGCTTACATTTTTTTGTTTGTATTGTATTTTTATTGTGTAGGCATCTGTAACATCTCCTGCTTTTAAGGCATGCATTCTTACAACTACGCCACGTTTGCATTGCTTAGAATAAAAATTTATGATAAGCTAGTTCAGATCAATATTTATAGTTCTTTTTGGTTTTATTAAATATATTTATATTATTATTGGATTTTTATTTATTCATTGTTTTTTTTTTAATTTCTATAGTATTGGACATACTATAGCTTAAATATGGCATTGGAACTTTTTGAATTTTAGGCATACTGTTAAAAACATGAATATGATTATAATTTCGGCATTCCTGTTTAAATTTTGTAAATGCAAATCTATAGTGTGGGAACAGATATAGTGTCACTTCATCCGGACTCAAATTATTTAGATTACAAAGTATAAAAGACAAGTATGTGTCTGAATCATGTAATACAGTAAACAAAAATTGATTAAACATAAATATGTGCTATTAATAAACATCAGTATATTAAAAATATCTCTTGTCAAAATTTATCTAATAAAATATTCGTTATATATTAGTATATAAATAAAAGCAATGGTCACATTAAAAAACAAATACTAGTTAACTATATTTTACTTTTGATTATGGTTTTCGTTAAATAAACAATTTATAAATAATTAAACTTTAGTTTTATTTAACAAAAATAAAAAATAAACAAAAACACTAAGTTTAATATAACATACTTAAACAAAATAATAATAAGATCAGCCTAAAATAATAATTTAAAAATTATCAACATTTAGTAACGGCATTCCCCACAAAACCAACTACTTATTGGTTTTCGCTCAAGACCTAAGCAACCAAAGTGGTTCCACGATAAACATCTATCGCATTGAAGCCAACAATTTTTTTTTTTTTTACCAACAATAGTTGTTGCTAGATCATCTTCCTGATGGCAAAGAGCACAACATCGTCTGACGTTGTTTAAATTTTTGATTTGGTTTTCCAATGCCATCCATGCCGAATCATCAAAAAATTGTTTAAAGTGATGAATATCGACTCTAGGATCAGCAGCTCGCATATCAACAACTGATTTCAATGATGTAGTTGACAATTTTGAACACAAATTTATGGCTTTATTAGCATCGTCATCGGACACTAACCATCGCAAAGTTAAACTTTGTCTATCTATTGGGCGCAACTTTTTATACTTTTTAGGTGCATGGTAAAAGAGCCGCTGCTTTAAGTTTAATGGTCTGCCTGAAGATTTTCTGACAATAGGTTTTAATAAAAGAGTTGGCTGGCTAAATAACTTTGTTGGAATTTTGTCATTTTTGATTTGGTCAATTTCTTTTCCTTGAATTTCATGCTCATTTGGTTCTTCTTTGCACTGCTCTGACTCGCAGAAGAAACGCAGAAGTTAAAGGCGTTAGTGCCAGCAGGATCAGTGGTGTTAGAGCCAAGCCATTCAGTGTGATGGACATTAAAATCACCAACAATAACAATATTGGCAGAGGGGTAAAGAGAGAGGGCATGGTCAATTTGATCAGAGATAAAATCTAAGAGAGTGCAATCATGGGAAGAAGGAGAACGATAAAGAACAAAGAGCAAGGTGATAGAGTGAAGAGGTGCTAGGCGAAAGCACATAAAAGAATGGTCAAAGGATTCGACCCTGATTTCACGACAAAGAGGGGAATTAATGCGTATGTATACCCCTAAACCTAGCATGTGACTGTTGGAGTCTTTACGAATCAAAGGATAGTACCCATCAACACTGACATCTGAAGAAGGAATTGCAGAATTTAAATTTGTTTCACTGAGTCCAAGCAAGTCTGGTGAATTTTGCAGGAGGTAAGACTCAACTGACGGAAAGTTGCTTTGCAGACCGCGAATATTTGTAAAGGAGTATATATATATATATATATATATATATATATATATATATATATATATATATATATATATATATATATATATATATATATATATATATATATATATATATATATATATATATATATATATATATATATATATATATATATATATATATATAAGTATATAATATCAATATATGAATAGTTATAAAAGCATCAATCAACATTAATAAAAATTCTCATAGACAGCAATAGCTTTAAATATTAAGTATATTTGAGTAGTGAGTAAAGTTGTTACACTTGACAAAATTCTACAACCCTCATAATGAAAATAGGTCATGTATTTTCATGTTAATACAACCTTTTTATTAGTTTTACCATACTTGGGCATTTTATCTAACCCTAAATTTCAAAGCAATATTTTAAATTTGGCTTCAATATAACAACTTCAAATTTGTCATCCCATAAACATGTTATGAGCCAATTTATATTATTAAAGATTTACTATTTTAATATGACCATAATTGGAGTTTAACCATTTCATAGCTCCAAATGACTACTTAGCTAAAAAAAAAAAAAGAGTTAATCACTTATTTTTGGTTTCTACATATAATAATGATTAAAAAAAATCTAATATAAACAGATGCCAAAAAAAAAAATCAAAAATGCAACTTTTCTGGGTTAATCCCACAGTCTAATATAAAAGATTTATTGTTATTTATTGTTATTTCTACTATGGTATAAAATTACTTGTGAATTAGTAACCTTTTATTTACAAGTTCCAAGTCAAATATAGATTTTTGCAAAAACTGCAGCACACACATGATATGTCGACACAGAAGTCCAAATCCAGTTGAAAATCCGCAATTACAAGCATTTTTAAAAACATTATACTCGCTATGGGTGTTTTTGACAAGAAACCTATTTTCCAAATCCTGTATTGACATAAAATTTATATTGCTATATATGTAAATTGCTCTCATCAGTTTATATCAATTAAGTATTATACTAGTAACCTACCTCTTTTACATCATATTCATTTTTTTTCATTAGAAAATATTGTTCAACAATGAAATTCAAACAAAAAGATGACACTTTATCAGAATACTCTTTTAGAGCATCCGGAACATCTTTTCTAGTTTTGAGACGCTGATCAAAATCAGAGTGCAATATTTTTGAGTATATTACTCTATCCAAAGAAATCAACTTTTCTATCAGAATTCATGGGCTTATTCTAGAAGTAGCAGTAACAGCTTTTAACGATCGGTGATATCTATATAGCAAAACAAATTACACACATTACTTAATTGAAATATAAACAGTGCAAGTAAATTTGTAAAACTATATTAAAAATACATGCCTTTCTAATCTGTTATTTGTGTGGTTGTCAAGGTGCATTACTCCATTTCGTTGATACCCAAAAAACATCTCCCCAATTGATAACCAGTTTCGTTCCAGATAAGCATAAAAATTGGGAAAAGCATTTTTAACAAAGTTTATTGCATCTTCACATTGTGCTTGGTTACCGTATACCATGCTTTGAATTTTCTTCAAAAAATTTAAATATGCTAACTGTTTTTACACTTATTTCCACATTCCACTTATATATTTATTTCATAATAAATCAAATACCTCATAAATTAAATCTTGCTCGCTTTCAGACACTGGCAACTTCTTAAGTTCCAGAACAAATGCTTTTACTATATGAAAACGACAAAGAAGAATTCTGCTTTTTGGAAAAACAGTTTTTATAGCAGAGATTTCAGCATAATCTTTATCAATAACAAACGTAGCAGACTTTAGTAGATCACCTGTCCAACACCGAATATCTTCTAGGATCATCTCTAAATGAATCTGATCTTCTCTATCAACAAGACTATGCATTACTGGCTGACCTATTCCATTGCAGTCCACAATTGCAAGGGTGTACAATGGCATTGCCATATTGTTGACCTAAATATGAAGGCCATGTAAGACAATATGTTATAACATAAATTTAAAAATAATGCCATTAAAGCAAAATGAAAAGAACAGAGAGAAAAGCAAAACAAAGTAATAACAGATACTTTGTATGTACCATCCATCATAACAACTTCCGGAAACTTATGCAAAATGCTCTGTTGTTCTGGAGTGGACCAAGTAATAGCCTCAATGTATCCTTCCATATTAGCATGTATGTTATGTTTCGTACCAGTCAAAACATTTCTGATTTCATCAACAGCAGAACCTATAATAACATAAAAATTATTAATTTCAATTTAGTATTGAGTTCTTTTCAAATTAAAATTTATTTACCTCGAAACTTCATTTTCTGCTTTATATTATATATATCTTTCTGCTTTACCATTAATTTTTTATCTAACAAGTAGTTGGCAACAAGAGTTGGATTTGCGCCGTGATGAAGAAGAACCTCAGTTTCTTCAAGAATTTTCTTTGTAGGTTTTCTAGATGTTGAGTAGAGTTGAAATTCTTCAGCACCAATTGGATGGTTATGTTCAAGATTGATGTTGCGCACCATATATCCAGGTAATGCAGGATTGTATGCAATATACAATGCCACCTGTATATTAAACAAATGTATATTAAAATAGGCCATTAATAATCAATAATTACTGGATAGTTAAAAATATCTTTCATTACAATTTTATTTTTTTTTATTTTGATTGAAATGTTAAGTGGAATTTGGAATTGAATTAATGGAATTAATTCAATTCCAATTATGGAATTGAATTAATTCAATTATGGAATTGAATTAATATTCATTATTATATGTAAAACCATACCTGACAGCCACAAGGAAGTACTGATTGGTGATTTCTTTTTCCAGTCACGCCATCTCTTTTTCTAGGTTGACCAAAATGTTTACAAACGCACCTAAATAACAAAATCAATTTAAAAAATTATTACAATCATGATAATCACCAACATAATCACTAACAACAGCATCAACGATAACATAATCATCAGCACTTCAAATACCTGTATTTGTCAACCATACAGGAACAACAAAAGAGATAGCAGACTTGTGCCATCACCGTCATTGTTTTATCGTCCTTGTTTCTGCCCTTGCACAGGGTTGTCCAGATGTCACAAAACAAAAAAGTAACAAAGTTAAAAGACAAATTTGGTTTATTTACCTGTTGACTTTTGTTAAATATTATTTACAAAAATCTTATTAATTATAGTATTCATAAAATCATAGGTAGAGAAAGCAATAATAATAATAAAAATCAACTTCAATGTTATTTTAAATAAATAATTTGGCTTTCATATATACAAAATAGGTTAACTGAATCCAAAAAGCCATCCAAATAATACGATCTAAATAGAGAACATCTTTAAATAACAGTTTGTATACACAATTAAATAATAATTGAATAATTTGTAATATAACTTTTGCTAGACCTTAAAAGCACATTAGAAACAATTTACAAAAATATTCTTATTAACAATTTATTAGCGGCAAAATTATTGAAATCACTTTATAAGTATAAAAATTTTTTTGTTGACAAAATGTCAACAATGTCAAATTCGAATTAATCAGTTAGTTAAACATTAACAAATACTACACAAACCGTTAAAAAACCAATAGTTCATTGTACTTATTGACTTATCACTTTTGTCTTTTAATTTAATATTTTTCTATACACATTTACTATTATCTGATGTATTAGTAATATTTCATAATACTTTCCACATGGTTTTACTATCACCTTTCACCACATCCACTTTATTCTTTTAAATTTAAAAGTTTTTAAGTTTCTGCATTTTTTGTAATTCCATATTGTGTTAGACACATAGTGTTACCTTCTTTCTTCATTATTAAGAATTTTCTTTATTCATAGTTAACTTGTTTTGATATGTTGATAATACTAGGATTATTTAACCAGTTAGAGTATGGTGTTCTATTGTTTATTATCATTTTTGTTTTAATTTCAATTTTGACTTTCTCTTGAATGTTATAAATCATTATATTTGCCATTTCGTTACTATTTAGTTACTTATATCTTTATCATTTATTTTGATTTTATTTCTAATTATAATTTTCTTGTTTAGTTTATTGTAATTCATGTTTTCATACAGTTTAATAGTTTTATATTTTACTAACACATTGTCATATTTCTTAACTTTAATATCAAATTTATGTTTGACACTTACTACCTCATGATCTGACATTTTTGGCTGTACAGAATTGTCACTCTCTATATCATATTTAGTTTGAAAATAATTTGATCAACACAGGTACTTGTATGTTCAGTAATTCTTATGGGTACACAAGAGCTGGTATACTATGACTGTTTATGATCTTTAGACTAAGATTCTTGTTAACTATTTCGTATTTTTTTAAGAAGTTATTTTTTTTAGAATGTCAATGTTGAAATCTCCCATAACAATAACTTTTTTGTACTTACTGCTTACATCACTTATATATGATCCATAGAAATTAATAAATACGTTTATCAAGTTTTGATGAGGAGACCTATATACATATATCACACAAATGGACCTGTTAACATATTTCATTATTGTTTTTATTAACCACTATTCTGTGTTTTTGATATCTACTTCAGAATTCATCATTTTTATATCATCTCCAATCTTTTATATCATTTTTATACATCTACTTGTATGAACACTGGATGATAATTTGCTTATTTCATTATATCCATTTATTTTAAATTCTTTATTGTAGTGATCCTTTTTTAAGTGTTAATAAATCTTTGTTTCAACTACAACAAATATTTCAGGTTTAAAATCCCTAACAAATTGTTCCACCTCTGTTATTTTGTTCACTGAACCATTTATATTTACTAAAACACATTTAAATGTTCTATTAGTTTGTGGTTGCTATCTGATTCATATTTTAATCCTTGCTTTCACCACCATAAACAATGGACAGTTACGGTCATTAGCATAATCATTATATCGAAACTGAGGATCATATCAAATCTGAGGATGGTATTTTTATTTATTGTTAATGACAAAATGTAAATTCCAATTAATCAGTTAGTTAAACATCAACAAATACTACGCAAACGGTTAAAAAACCAATAAAAGGTCAAGAATTATTAGAAAACAAAAAATTAAAGAGCAAGGAAATGGTTGACAGAGGACTCAAATCAAAAACTGTACGTTGTTTGAGTCAGGAAAACATAAAAATGGGAACAAATAGAGTTCCAAAGAGGAGCAAAAACCTAGATACAAATTTTTTTATAAAATGCAGAAACAAATACAGTAAAAGGATGAGACTTTAGTAAATGATGAGTCAAGCAAAGTTTTGTTTAATGAAACTAGAGATAATATCTCCTTTGGGCAACGACTATGGACTTTAATGTTTTAGAAATGTCGTAAAAAAATACACAAGAATTATAATAAATGCAATTTGTTATTTCATTAAGTAAACTTTTCAATTTTTTTTAAATTACATTACTGTGAAAAACTATAATAATTTTTAGATGTTTATTCTTTACTCACAATGTAATACTATTCAAAATGTAACTTTACTAAAGATGAATTATTAAAATTTAAAGAAATGCCCTGCCAATTTAAATAAATATAAAGTACAGTCCTTCTAGAAAAATTTAATAAATAGAGTAGGCAAATGTTGTAACTTATTCTTTTATTCAGTACTATTGTTAATAAATTAGTTCAGAGATTTTTGCTGCGAATCAATAAATTTAAGGCAATAGACAAAAATTTATATTTCGTAAACATTAAAAAACTGTATTAAATAATAAAATCTATTCATATTTAACTTAATGGTTTTCTTGACTGGCATTATATCGTTAAAATCAATCTAAAAAAAAAACAAGAGAAAAAAAGAAAACCTGCATGCGAATATCTCTTCTGTTGTGACAATAGCTTTATCAGCAATTAACTTTTTATTGTGACTAGCAACAGTTTCTTTACTATCTATCCTTAATGGATGATAATTTGTTAAAGCGAACTTATTGACTGCATTTATACAACTTTGAAAATCAGGGAAAGTATCTCCTAATTTTAGGCTTGCGGCCATTTTTAAAAAGCAAGTATTAACAAATAATTTTGCCATGGAAATTTCTTTATTTTCAGTTAAAATACGCGCGTGTCACATGTCTAAAATAAGGTAATATGATTGGTTCACTGGTATTAGCAATTTTCACCGGTTTATTACCAGTGTATATGCACTGGTAATAGCACTTTGCCTTTTTTTTTTGTAAATTCCCAGTGTTGTCAATTTAATAGTGAAATGTACAAATATATAAAAATATAAATTATAGATACAAATATATATATATATATATATATATATATATATATATATATATATATATATATATATATATATATATATATATATATATATATATATATAGTATATATATATATATATATATATATATATATATATATATATATATACATATATATATATATATATATATATATATATATATATATATATATATATATATATATATATATATCTATATATATATATCTATATAGATATATATATATATATATATATATATATATATATATATATATATATATATATATATATATATATATATATATATATATATATATATATATATGTTTATAAATTCATAAATCGCTAGTATGAAAGCAAAAAATGCCAGTTTTTCGTGAATACTTTTTTATTAATAATATTCCTACTCGTAATATTATATTTATACTATCTATTTAGTCTAGACGAGATATAGTTATGTTTTCTCTATAATTGCGCAGCCGTCTTTTTTTATAATAGGCCTCTTCGTGTAATATAGTAGGCCATGATGCGACACGGTTAACACTTAAAAACGCGCGTATTTAAGTGTTAAATCGTTAGCTCTAAAGTGTCACTTAAAGATAAACATATTTTTGTAAAAAAATTAGCTGTAATTTTGCTGTGTAACAATAACGTATAACTAATTTATTGTAAATAATAACTAACTATGCTGTGATGAATTTTACATTAGAAGGTATGTACTTTGTATTTTATCGAAAACTTATTTAAAATAATTGTCATAGATGATATTCTGTAGCTTTAAAAAAACTATGTTAAAACTGCAATTTCTTTTTTCGTTTTTTAATTTTCAAAGCTTATAATTAATTTTATCCAAATATATCCAGGCTGATATTTATATATATTATAACCACAACAATAAGGCGCCTAAATATAAAAATTTGGCTGCCCGTGTCTGCCCGTTTCATTTTTATTTAATTTTTTAAACCTTGGAGGAAAACCGAAAAAAAACTACAGATGTTATTTGTGTTATCAGACAGTTGAGTAGCGATGAGGCACTTGCTTATTATGTAGATTCCAAGTGTACTAGTCACTCTTATTAACAAACAAGAAAATGGTAAATGAAAGCTGGGTATAAAGTGTTTCCGTCTTACATTAATTTATGTAAATTCAAAAGGTTGTGTTACCCTCCAGAAGAATTTATTTCTATCTCAAAAACACGAGCTGAAATTAAACTTCAAGCTATATTGAACAAAACAACTGAACGTTTAATTGAAACACTAGTCAATTTCCCAAAAATCCATCCTCTAATTTGTCGCTTACATTAATAAGCAAATAGGAATGTGACGGAAGTTTTGGCCACAAGACCTATAGACAAAGATTTGAGAACTCGGATCCTAATAATGATTTTCTGTTTGTGTTTGCGTTTGTTCCGTTGAGATTGAGTGATGACTCTAATACTATTATTTGGCAAAATCCTCGGCCATCGTCAACACTTTATTGCCGACCAATTAAATTCATATTTTCAAAGGAAACACAGGAATTTACTATAATAGAAACTGACTAAGTTTTAAAAGAAATATCTGAACTTCTTCCAACATTGTGTAATGTCTGTTACTTACAATGACAGAAGGAAAAGTATGCAATGCTTTAGATGATACGCACTCCACACAAAAATGTTATATTTGCGATGCTACTTTAAAAATGATGAGTGGTGAATTAAAAGGTATAATTAATAAAAAAAAAAATACAGTTTTCGGTTTTTCTAGCTTGCATGCTTGGATAAGTACTTTTGCCTGCTACACATTAGCTACCGTTTAGACATTAAAAAGTGGCAAGTTAGGGGCAAAGAGGATAAATGTCGTATCAGAAATCGTTCAAAAGAGATTAGGCAAAAGTTTCGAAAACAAATGGCACTTGTTGTGGATAGACCGAAGTCTCATTATGACAATACAAATAATGGCAACACAGCTCGCAGGTTTTTTTAAACCCAGAAAAGAGCGGAGAGATTACAGGATTAGACGTTGAATTAATTAAAAAATTTAGTGTTTTGTTAAGAACGGTATCTTCTGGGCATGACATTGGTTGTGTCAAATCTGAAAAACTTTGTTTCGAAACAAGGACTTTATATTTACATTTATATTCGTGGTATTACATGCCGGTTACAGTCCACAAAACTTTAATGCATAGCACGGAAGTTATTAGGTCGTGTATTCTTCCGATTGGCCAGCTCTCAGAAGAATCTCTAGAAGCACGAAATAAAGATTGTAGGAGATTTCGAGAGCATCACACTAGGAAAAAGTCGCGTATTTCTACAAATATGGATTTGCTAAATATGCTCTTAATAACATCTGACCCTGTTAGCAATTCACTTAGAGAACTGCCTGCAAAAAGAAGCAAATTACCAGTAGAGGTTTTGAATTTGATTGTTCCGGCTCCATAAATAGGAAGTTGTAACTTGTCCGATGAATCAAATGATGAGTCATCTGGCGATTCAAGTGATGAGTGTTTGGTGGATATAAACGACGAGTTTTTTGGTAACTAAATATAAAATTTATTGTATAATATTATTTATCCTTGTTTCACAAATATATTTTTTCTTTTTTACTTCATTTTTTTATTATAACAGTGGTTATTGCAATGAGGGGGAATGGGGGGGGGGGGGTTGTAGGCGAGGGGTTTTTCCTCTATCCTGCACAAAAAAAACTTCAAAGTTATTAAAACCAGAGTGATTATTCAATAAAACAATAAAATACTGTTTATTAAACCATTCATGACTAGAACAATTGAATTCGTGAACAAAATATTTTTGTCCAGCTAGATTGTATGAAACGATTCACTGTGCGGTGTTCGACGTAAAGAAAGCGAAACTGACCTTGAATTAGACCTCATAAATAAAACTGGATTAAAAGAATTGCAGTGTAGGCGTTTACTTGAAAATGAGTTTATTTTTATAAGTCTTTTCCTTTCATTATCTGATTTGTTATCAATCTTTAATTAAAATTTTTTTTTTTAAAGTAAAGCAGTTTTTATTTTTAAATCTTTTAAATGTTTATTTATTTTATCGAGCTGTACAAAGAAATCCGCCCACGAGTAACGTCAATAAATGCGAATTTCAAAAAGAACGTACGTTTTTTGCGTGGTGCACCAGACGGAAATGGTGGAAGACAAGTTAGAGCAATGATAAGTATTAAAAAAAGTAGCAGAGCATCAAATATCGATAATAATGACGAATCATAATAATAAACTTTACTCTTTTTTTATTTAAATGAAACATGTACATACTTACGTCTTAATAATAGCATTATATTAGTTTCCTGACTTATTATTTGTTACTTTCTTCTGATTTGATATCGCGACGCACAACACAAGCCTGAATTTAGCGCGCAATATAATGCTGGTTTTCAACGAAGTACCGCTATAGAACCGATGAACAAAAAATGCCGTAGTACCAGCACGGCATTTTTTGCATAGCCAACGCTGTGCCAGCTTATTAGGCCGAGGTGAAAACACGTTGGTCCGACAAAGGCTTGTTTACGGAGACTCTGCCGGTCCGATGATGGCTTGTAGATAAAGGACCGCCCTAGAACCGTTGAGCAAAACGCGCGGTGCCAGGACGACACGCCAGCAAATTATACCTACAGCGGCATTTTTGCCGGGAAAATTATACCTACAAAGTTGCCGGGATATTATACCTAAAAAGACATGTTGGCTGGGAAGGCCTTCTGTAGAATACTCAAAAGTTTCCAATAGCGAACTTTTGTAATAAGATATTTTTTTTAATTAATGATCAAGAAGTTAAAAAGCATTTAATAATCAGTATAATATAGAAATAAATAATACAATTGAATAGAATGGAATGTTGCTTTTTTTCTTTTTTTTTTTTTTCATTTGTTTTTGTTTTTTTTTTCTTTTTTTCATTTGTTACTTTTATTTAACTAAATAAATGAATCGCACAAGATATTTTTTGTATTTTGTAATCAACGCAAGTTTTTTACTTTATAAACATTTTAACTATTAGGGAAGAGTGAGAAGAAGTGGGACAGCCTGAAATTTCTAATTGAAATGTTGTTTTAAATTTATTTGCCCCACTTTCACTTGTCCCACTTTACCCAATGGCAAGGTTTGTCTGAAAACAAAAATTTACATAGGGGAGAGTTGCCTTAATTGGAACAATTTAGGAATGTTTATTAACCAAAGATGGCTTAACTATGAAAACATTTATGATTTGATTAATACAAACAGACATCTCTACTATACCTTTAATCACAATTTGACTTAATTGATTACACTGTTATTGGAAAGAAATTTGTTTTTGCAAAGCTACCGCTTTGTTCCAATCAAGGCAAATGGTTCCCTAAATTGGAACACTTTGATTCCTTAATCAAACAGGTTATTTAAAAAATAAAAAAAAAACAGTAAAATCAACAAAAATTTGAAAAAAATAATTTTCATCTTTACAGTGAAAATTTAAACAGCTCCTTCAAAATTTATAATAGGATTAGTATTACCCTGACAAATTTAAAGCCTACAAACAAAAAATTGTATAAAGCTTCAACTGTTATGACGTTCTCTTAATTTATTGATTGAAAATCACTAAATAAAGTATTATTTTTAAGGTTTATGGTTGTTACTAAGTATTTTTTTAATTGCATTTGAACTATTTTTAAGGAATATTTTTATATAGTAACTTTGCATTTTAAATCCCATTGAATTAAACACAAAAAGCGGTATAACCTATAGTACCATAATTTACCCAGTGCAATCAATAAAGTGTGAACAGAAAATTAGATCACTGAAAAAAAATGACGCAAAAATGCTTCAAATAAATGGTGCAAACGCATTTTTTGAGAATTAACTTTCAAAATTTGTCAAAGCGTAGAAAATAATGCGTTTTACTAAAAAAATGCAAAACATAGCCATAATTAAAAAATAAATGCAAATGTTCCAAATAAGGCACTGTTCCAATTTCGGCAACTCTCCCCTACTTAGTTATAAATGGCTAGAAACTTAGAGGGATTAAATCGAAGCCTAAAAAGAAGGTTTATTTGCAAAAACTTGTTTGGTTCAGTTTATATAAAAAAGATATTGCAATTACCCTGGAAAAAAATTTACGCGTCCTACTTCTCCCCACTTTCCAAAAAGTATACTCAAATAATTTTTTTAAAATGATAGACGCAACACAATAGCGAAGAGTTTAATAAACCTGTTACTATAGGAAAAAAATAACCATAACGAAACAAGCAACTGAAATGGTCTGAATTCTGCTGATTCCTTTATAACGGGCACAGACATCTGTGGGACGTCTATACAACGTTTTATGGACGTCACAAGTCCGTAAGACGTCCAGTGGGTTGCTGTATTTGTATTTTATTATCTACGGCTCTAGCCTACCATTTTCTGCTTTTCTTTTCATATTCAATATAAAGTATAATCTGAAAAATGTTTATCCAAATTGTAGGCTGGATAAACCATATTTTAAATCTAAATTATAAGTGTCTCAATAAAACGTTTCATAATTTTTTTCCCCAAAAAAATATAATAATATCAGACTTCTCAATTTCAGATATATGGTTTCTTTAGGATAACTATGTTATTATTATTATTATATTAATATTATAATGTTTATGCAATGCATTAAAATTAATATTTTATGTTATGCATAAAGGTTAAAAAAATTCGCTTTTTCCAAATGCCCAAAAACTATTTTTAAAACTTAACGAAACTGCAAAATTGAGTCACATATTACAAAATCAAATAGGTGTGTCACATGTTACAGAATCTAATAGGTTTAAACTTTTCGATAAAAAATATCTAAGAATTGGAAGATAAAGCTAGGTCTGGAGACCAAAAAATTTGTTTAAAAAGTATATTCAAAAATTCATTTTTACTGTGCACGATATCAAATTGCCATAGATAATAATGGAGCATATATAGTTGATAAGGTTTTTTTATTTTATCAAATATTAAAAATCTAAAAGTATCATTTTTGCACACATCCAATAAGAAAATAATAAATTTACGTCCCTTAACTTGAGGAAAAAGTTTCTTATAATTTTATACTAACTAGTTAGAACTGTTTGAAAAAATATTTTGTTACGCGAAGTTTAGTAAATCTTGTTCTAATAAGAATCAGTATAACAGTTATCAAACATCAATTGTTTTGACATATTTTTCACAAACTTTATAAAATAAAAAACTTTAAAGTAGGATAGGCTACGAGTACCTTAACTGAAAATTGGAATATTTTCAAAAATAAATATGCTTGATCTAAAATTTTTGTAAATAAAAAATTTTTAGGAATCACTTCTCACGATCCACTTAGATATTTGGGTACGTGAAACTTTTTCTTAAAAACACGAAGGTTTCAAAAAAAGTGGTGAAAGTGCTTATATTACCCAGACCACTTGGTAAAATGAGCACTTTAATTAGTTCAAAAAAATAACATTAAGTAAAAAAATACCAACCTGGCAATTAGAATTAATTTGTGAAGTATAATAATTTGTTATTAACAAAAGTTATCATTAAATGATCAAATTTTAATCCACTTTTTGTTGAAACCATACTTGTTTTACGCAAAAAAAAAAAAAAAAAAAAAAAAAAAATTAGTTTGTTAAATTTTTAATTTTATAAACTCCAACGTTAAAACGATAAAATTACAAACTTTTTGAATATAAATTACAGTAAGATATTTAGTATCGTTAAAATATTAAAATTTTTTACTATGTGTTGTTTTTATTTAAAAAGCATTTTAGGGATTTACTTGGTAACTTGGTAATTTTAATGAAAAGCTGGGAAATTTGAGCTCACAACACAAAAACGATATCTTCAAAACTAAATGTTTCTATTGCGTGGACATTGCGTGGAAAAATCCGGTCAACTTTAAATTGAGATTTCTCTAAAACAACGAATGCTTTTAATTTCTTATATTTTTTCAGTTAAACATTACTTTCTTATCTTTAATTGAGTTGATAAACTTTTGTTTACAAATCAATGATTTGCAAAATGCTTCGGAAAAAAATTGAGGTGGGTAAAAAAGTTAAGAATTTTTTTTGCAAAAACCCATCAAATTCATATTGCTTGATTGCAAAACGTACAAATGTCCTAAAATCTACAGTCATAGATATTATAAATAAGTTCAAGACTACTCAAAGCTTCGAAAGAAAATCTGGAAGTGAATGAAAGAAAACTTTTCATAAATCCAAAAAGGTCGGTTTTACGTTCAATAGCAAGAAATCCAAACCAGTCACTGCAAAATCTAGCAAGAAAATTCAAGGTTTCGCCGTCTTATATTAAAAAAGTACTTAAAAATGCTGGAAAACTGTTCATAAGAAAAATACACATAAGAGAAGCTTAAATGGTGAAATGTAAGGAATTCAACGCGCAAAAAAGTTGGTTAAAGTAATGGCGGATAAAAGTATGTGTATAATTGAAAACAAAAAAACATTGCAAGGCGGATATTTCACAACCTCCTGTTCAACAATCTTACTATAAGAACAAAGATAAACCTGTCAATGATTAATTTAAGTAAATGCGATGAGAAAAACTTGCATACAAGTTTTTCTCATCGCATTTACTTAATAAATCAGTTTGTACCTTGTGTGGCATGCAATTTGTAGCTGTGGTATGCAGTCCTCTTGTTTTGTTTCTAAGAAACCTTGACTGCCAATCTCTACATGAAAGAATGCCTCCAAAAAAGACTTTTTCTACTGATGAAAAAACACAAATACCGATGTCTCTTTCGGCCAGATCTTGCTGCTTCTCACTATTCTAAAAGTTTTTTACAGAGGTGCAAAAATGATAAAGTGAAAATTGTTCCTAAAGATGCGAATCCTCCAAATCGTCCTGAAGAGCGCAAGATTGAAAATTTTTCGGCATTAGTTAAACGAGTTCTTCGTAAGGCAGGTAGAGAAACAAAAAATAAAAAGGATTTCTTAAGCAAGTGGATTAATGTCGCCAATAAGGCGAAAAAAGAAAAAATCTGCGAAATGATGGCATCAACCTGCTATAAAATTTGATCTCTTGCCAAACAGCCCATCAAGCCCCTTAAAATTAAGTTGAAACCCTAACTGATGTAAACACATTTAATAATAAAAAAAATTGAAATAAAAAGCATTTATGATTTTATAGAAATCTCAAGTTGACCGAATTTTTACGTGTCCACCCGATATGCATTATTTTTTAAACAAAAGTGGAACGGATTTCTAGCTAACATATTTTTCTTTATGGAAAATCAAATTTCAGTATTTTATCAAAGTTTCGCATGATGATAATAATTTAACAACGCAAAATTTTAAAGACCTTTATAATTAGATGAGAGCAGCTAATTACTGCATATAAATTTACGCTAATTATACTGGCTTCTGTTATCACCACATAAAGTCGATTCAAAAAATGCAAAGCAACTTTAACTTCACTGCTCACATCTTAGAAATCTTTTAGTATGCTCATATTACCCAAATTCACCCTATATATAAAAGAGACAAAACATTTATAAAAATTAAGAAAAAGCATTAGGGAGAAAACTGAGTTTAAATGGTTTACTATAAAAGGAAAAAAAAGTTATATCATTAGAATCAGCAAAAAGGCTACAAAATAATTACTTTATAAAATCTTAAAAATTACTGAAAACAGTATTGTAACCGTATATTTCATTATCATTATTTTTATTATACAAAAAATAGTATTTTAAATTTCAGTATTTTATCATCAAAATTTCGCGTAAAATTAACCGTATTTTCAATTATAATATACTGTGAGCTGCTATTATACATATGGCAAAGATATTTAAAGTTTTTTTAGAGCCGATTTATTGGCAGTAAAAGGTTTGTTTTTTTTAGGTATCATTTTTATCTCCAAAATCAATTTTTAAAACTCATATGTTTTTTAAATTTCATCTGCAATTTAAAGTTTCAGTTTCCCAGCAACATTATCCATATATTTAAAATATTTTAAGAATAACAAAACTAATAGTAATTTTTTTTATTAATATCAAACATAAAATATTTATAAAAAAAAATATTCTTTATATGCAATATTCTATATAGGAGATCTAATTAAACCTAAACAAGAGCTGAAAAAAAGATAACTATTAAAAAACAATTAAAAATATTTTACATTATATATTAAATGTATTAAAAAATAATCAATGAAGAATTTAGGTCTATAGATGTTGGTTAAGCTATTAACCAATATCTATAGACATAAATTTTTTATCTATTTTTCACTAATATCTATAGACCTAAATTTTTCACTAATATCTATTTGAAGTCGTTTGTATTTTTCCTTAAAAACCATCATAATTGGAATACACAAAGCACAACTAATAACTAAAAACCAATTCATCCACTTTGTACCAACTCCAGGAATTAAAGGCAATGACAAAAAAAGAAAACAATAAATGTTATTCGAAAAAGTCATTGCACCAGTATTTATTCCTTCTGCTACTGGGTAGCTTGACTCTACAGCCAATTCAAAGAAAAGTGGAATGGTACCATTAATACATATTCCTCCAATAATTGATGTAAAATAAAAAAGAGTAATTGATTTAGGTATTACTTCCACACATACCAAACCAAATACTCCAAAACTTGCAGTTGAGACAATAAACATTAAAGTTACAAGAAGCTTTAACGCACCAAGTAAATCAGCCATACTAAAAATAATAAAACAACTTATAAAAATAAATTTAATAGTAATGAAAAAAATAAATAAACCAATGTAATTACTTTTTAAAGTAATTACATTTTTGTCTGTTCTACTTAAATAAAACTCGTCCAAAGTAAAAATGTAATTTTTTACTCTCTCACATACTTACATTGACAAAGCAACTCCAGAAATAGCACCAGCAACAAGTGACCAAAATCCTAACCAACTAGCAGTTTCATCGTCTATAGAAAATTCTTTTAAGTTTAAAGCTAAATCTGAACACCATGCACTGTATACACCAGTTGTCAATCCGTAAGCAAAAGCAATAAGTTGAAAGTTAGGATTTTTAAAGAGTTTTTTCAATCCACTTGAAAAATGAACTCGTTCAATGTTTGAAGTAAAACTTGGTGGTTTTGGAGGCTTATGTGGAAAAGTTAAAATAACTAATAAAAAAATACCACCACACATACCAAACTGTACATACATGAAACGCATCACTTGATTAGATAATTTGGAGACAAGAGCTTCATAGCCTTCATCCCCTTTTTTAATACCAAAAGATTCAAAGTCTTGAACAAGATGAGGACCAATGAAAAAGCTAAGTGCAGTTCCAAAAAGACATGAAAGTGAAGCAATTGCTGTAGCTGTTGTTCGCTGTTTTGAAGGAAACCATGTACTAGAAAGTACAGTTGCTGCAGCTTGACCAACAGGTCCAGCAAATCCGATAATAACTTGCGCAGTGTGTATTAGAAATGTTGCATTTACTGGTTCAGAGGTGATACATCGTAGCCCAGTTCCAATTAATAAACAGAAACTAGATACTACAATCGCTTTCCGAAGACCTAAAAACGTCCGATCAAACATTGTATAAGAGCCTAGTTTTTTAATATATTTTTTTGTGCTTGCAGTGCCGGATTAAAGAAAACTGAGGCCCTAGGCATTAAAACCTTTGGGGGTCCCATTTTCCCATAAAATTTTTTTTTTAATTTCTTTATTCTAAAATGTATGATGTATTATATGATTTTTTGAACTTAGAAACAATTCATAGATTAAAAGTTGTACAAAAATATATTTTAATGCAATAACGAAATTGAATAATAACAAAAATTATTTGCATTACTGATTAACTCACAATAAAACTTGTTACTAATCAAATTAAACTCTTTTTTTAAATTTGGAAACATCCAATATTTGAGGGCTCCTGATCTTCAGGGACCCAGGCTGTATCGCCGCATACAGAATTGCCAAACAGAATCGCCTGTTTGGCGATTCTGTTTGGCAATTGCGAGGTTTTTCTACTAAAACTTTTTTTTTACAAAAAAAAAATTTTGTAGTAAATTTTTTTTTAGATTATTTTAGAATTACATTGTATTGAAACAATCTCAAAAAATAACATTAAGTAGAATTTTTTATTATTTTTATTATAGTTTCACACTCGTGTAATTCAATTTAAACGTATTAACATTTAAAAAATCATAAAAATATTTTGTGTACACTACTACACTGTTTCCATCTACAAAAGCTAATTGACGTGGCAGTCTATTGCTAAGTTAAATATGTATGGTATGAAGTTCTGGCAAATCGGTATACATAGACTGAAGGTTCTTGTCATATGCAATAATAAGATAAAATAAAAAAATTAGAACTTTTTTATTTTATAGACGTTATTAAATATGACAAGTAAACTCCTTCTGAAATCTATGAACATTCTTTTTCTCAGAAAATAATTGGCTGTGATAATAATATCCTTCAAAACATCGTTCCGGGCATTATCAGTAATTAAAATAATACTATTGAAAAGATCAAATACAGCATGACAGTATTAGGGCATAACGGATCAGCCAAAATGATTAGGATCCGGATCCGACCCGAACTTGAAAAATTTGGAGCCAGATCTAAATCCAGATCCAATTTTAACTTAAAAACAAATAAAAAAAAACTATTTTACGCAAGAAATTATCATTAATTTCAAAATATATATAACCACAATTAATTTTGCATTTCACATTAACAAACCTATTTATTTCATCATGCTTATAATTATTTTAGTGACTTTTTAAAAACATAAAGTGTTGAAATCAATAGTGTTATTATTAAAGCTCGTTCACTCTCAACAAATGTTAGTTGGATAGTTTTTAAATGCTGAAATAAAGTCTCTAAATTAGAAGTACGTTTTTTTGTTGACAAAAAAAAAGACAAAAAAATCTATATTTAGAGATTTTACACTGAGATCTTCATTATTTAAACCTTATTTTAGCTCAGCACTTTGTATAGAATTTTTCTAGCTCTATTTTCATATCAAAATTTTCCTCTAATTAGATTTCAAAACCAACTTTATTATTTTCTGTACACTCTTTTTCGATTGCTTTAGGTAAAATCCTTAGTAAAAGGTCTTTAGCTAACAATATAACTGCTAATATTTTTGACTATACTCCAAAAGCTCCTAAAGAACCAGATAATAGAAAACTAGGCTTGTTTAAATATTCCATGAGGCGAATCAAATTTTTTATGCTTAAAATTCTTGTTTTTAAAGCTTGATAAAATTTTTTGCTTGCGTCAGATTCATACGATTGTAGTTGATTTAAAACAAAACAAAAAACTTGTCTGGTGTAAGCAAATTTGGGTCTCGACAACAATGTGCTTTGGCTCCTAATTTTACAGGCTATAAAGCCTTAACAAAATCTTTAAGAATTAGCATAAATCTGATATTGCTATTGGAGACATTTGCTTAACTTGACAAAGCGTTCAACCATATTAAATAATGAGTTCCAACGTGACTTGCTGTTCAAAATAGTTTCATGTCCAAATTCTGGTTTTACATGCTTTTGCAACATATCGTCATTTTTAACAGGTATTTTTAAAAATAATTTTATTATTGCGCAGACTTTTTTAAAATTAAAAAATAACCTTTTATAACAACAGTCTCTACTAAACTATTTTCAAATTCAATGTTGCTTAGCTCTTCAACTTGATTTAGCGCTTCACTGCCATCCCTACTGCCATCCTTATTATCGAAATTTCAAAATTATTATTTTGATCTAAAACTTCAGTTGGTTTCACATAAAGTGCATCCCCTACTGCTAAACAGATTGCATGAACATCAAACAAATGTGATATAGTAGGTTGATTTAGATATGACGGCCAAATTTAACCATAACAGATGCACCATCTGTATTGTATCAACACTATCATTATTAAACTCCAGTTTGATAATGATAGTATAAATTCCAAGGCTTACATTTGCGTGCACATTAATGCTCATATAACGACGCATTCTAATTGAAGTTGTTAATTGAGCCTTAATGTCTCGATCCATGCATGAACCAGTAAAAAATTTTTAATAGAAATTAAATTAGAAGGTATTTTTAGTCCTTTAGCTAAATTAAAGCTAATTCTCAAAACCTTTTAATTTTAGCAACAGTCTTGAATGAGAAATTCCATCAATTGCAACGAGGTTTTTTAGTATTATTAGCAAAAGTATCTTTTGCTTGTACAAAATTTCTGATACCTTTTTGGGATGAATCTTGAACTTTTTTGTAGGATGTAATAATGGCAATTCTATTTTATGCTTAATCTTTAAATGCTTTTGCATAACACTTGTGCAGCCTCCTTTAACTGTTGCAATGTTGTTACAGGTTTTGCATTAGGCAGTTTCGTTTATTTTGCACTTTAAGAAATGCTCCCAAACAGGAGCATTGCTTTTAAAACTTTGGAAAGTCATTTTAATTTTTTTTTTTCAAAATGGCTTTGAAACATTATTATGTTTCAAAGTGTAACAGTTTCAAACTATGTTCAGGCTATAATGGTAAAAAAAACGGGAACTGAATATCCGAACCAAATCGATCCGGAGACGGATCTCAAAAAAATGGTACGGGTACTCGGATATACGGTTCCGGATCTTGGATCCGAATATGCCCTAGACAGTATACAACAAAGTAAATTTTATAAATATATACTTAGTATTTTAATTTGATTTTTAATAAATACATGCGTGTAATACACGTGAAAGTTTAAAAAAACCATAAGGCATAAAGCTATTTTATTAATTAAAATATTTTTTAAAGTTAACTTCATGGCAGTTTACCTTATGCTAAGCAATGTAAATATAAAAACTTAGCAATAAAACACAATATTGGGAAGATTTCGTGATACCTTTTAAAAATTTTTCTAAAAAGCTAAATTTTATATTGACTGACCCCGAGATGTTTTATTCCAGTATTTTATCAAAAACAACAAAAATGTATGCATGTAGCATGAATTATAGAGTTACGTAATTATATTCGGCTGTTATGCAATCACAAGGAACTAAGAACCTTAATTAGTGACAATCAAACAATTAAAAGTTAATCAAGATTTATAGCTTATAAAGGAATACAATTAGTAACTCTCTCTCATACAAATATATTTTTATAAGCTTAAAGAAGATTATTCCCAACATTCATAAGTATTCACATATTTATCGGCAGATGAATAATATGTGAATACTTATGAATGTTGGGAAAATCTCCTTTTAAGCTTATAAAAATATATTGTTATTAAAATATATTGTAATTCATCAGCATTCATTTAGATTATTCCCAGCATTTATGGACATCCACATATTTAGCACACTAATTACTAATCACAAATACAACAAAGCATGCAAACATTTTTTAATACTATTGATACTATTAATACTATAATAATTTTTATACTATTAATACTATAAATTTTATACTATTAATACTAATTAATTTTGACAGTAGTTTCTACAACTAAAAACTTTGCTTAGCTAAAATAATATTTACAGGCTGATGCAATGTATATGTTTTTACTAAATTATTGTTTTTAGGGATTTAAACCCTAGATAGCTAGATAACTTTGATACCAACATTTAGAAACTCATGTTTTTGTTTACTGTTATGTTGAATTCATGAATGGGATACAATTATTATTACCTGGGAACAAAAAGACCTAAAAAGTTTACCCTATCCAAAATGTAAGAGCAACCAGTTATTAAATTATTTTTTTACTGTCTTAAAGAGTGCGCATCATCATAAATTCACATATTGAGCAAAATTGATAATTTTTATTTTTCTAGTTAAATAAAATGTTGCCGTTCCGAATTTGTAGGTAATAAAAAACGCGTGGTTTGATTTAGAAAAGGCCCAAAAAAGAACCCATAAAAAATCTTTTTTCCAGAAAAAACATATCACTTATTTTCGAAAAAAAAAATTTTATGGGCTCCCTTTTGGACCCTTTATAAATCAAACCACGCATCAGAATTTTTTATTAGTTACAGATTCGGAACGGCAACATTTTATTTAACTAGAAAAACAAAAAATTATCAATTTTGCTCAATATGTAAATTTATGATGCTGTGCACACTACTAAATTTAAATATATCCACTTTTGATTTCATCAAGTAATCTTTTAGGGTGCGAAAGTTATTTAGAATTAACTAATCCCTTATTTTGAGGGTGAAACTGTAGATGGTATTTAAGTTTAGTAAAAGATTGTTACAAAAAATATTTAAATACATTATCGCCCTCACATTTAGAACACAACAAAAACCTTTTTTAGTGTCTTTGTTCGCTTATTCCACGCTATAATTTTTTGAAAAACATTCTTATTTGACATAAACACGAACATAAATTACGAAATGATTAGATAATGAATAGTAAGAAAATGATGAGATACAAAAGATACAAAATGATTGCAAAAAATATCGCGTCTGGATTGGATGCTGAAATATTTTTGTATTTTGTATCAAATTTGCGTCTCCTAAAAAAAAAAAAAAAAAAAGGCCTTTCATTTCTAAGATATTTTAGGACTTTCAGATTCTGGTGGGCGAATCAGAATA